AAAACTATTCAACTTGAAGATAAGGCAGATATAAAGGTTAAGGATTGGCCCTCCATAAAAATGCTATGGTTATGCTGCTTGATTTTAAGTTTGCACTTTTTTATTGGCGTTTTAAAAACTGTGTTTAAACTGAACAGAACTTGTCATATTTTATTTTATTTAACTATGTTGAAAGTGACTGCTTTGTACATCATGAACTTAACAATATACATGTTGTAAATGAAAGTTCCCTGTCCTGTACACTAAGTTTATTGATATTTTGGTTTGGGTTTTTGGTTTTCTTGGGGTTTTTTTTCAAACTTACAATTAGGACTGCAGATGTATTGAACACAAACGTTAGTCCAACCGTATGGCTTTAACCAGGTGCAGTATGCAGTCATGTGGAATCTTGCTTTCTAGTGCTGGCGAAAATGAGGACGTCTTTAATTATTGGCTTCAATAAACACAAATCCAGACTGCTTTAAAGTTGTGCCTTTTTTCTTAACGAGACCCTTCTAGAACTGTTTTCAAGGGGGAAGGATAAAAGAAGCAAGTGTGAGCTACCTCTTCGTTTAGCACGGTAAGCTAGCAGTAATGGTTTCCTAAGGGAACAGTCCTGTCAGATCTTATGTTTGCAGCACTTCTGTTGAATTCAGTGATCATCTCTATATTACCAGCATTTGATGGCATAATTATGTCAGTCAGGAAGATGCAGAGTTATACCTGCAAATCTGCACCCTTGTATTCAGGTTGGAGGCACAGGGGAAGCTGGATGAACCTATACAAAGCTCTAATACTGTAGGCCACGTCCAGGTAAACGCAGCCGTGTGGTATGTGGCGCCACATACTGCACATTTAGATGTTCTCTATGCTGCAAGGGTGTGCTGCCTTGCTTTTTTTCTGCAGGTTTTTTGAAACCTGTACATCCAGGGGTCAAAAAACCCATGGGGGAAAAACAAATGCTGAGTGCACTCACAGGCAGCGCATGTCGCTCAAAAGCAGAGCTAGGCCGTCTGAAGCTGCACTGCGGCTCCCGGCCAGGCTCAGCATGGCAGAATTGCTACTGCTGCAGCCCCGGGAGGCCCCCAGGACCCCAAGTAAGGCTGCTGTGGCCAGCCCAGTGCTGGTCCCAGCCTCCCTTACCCCACATGGGGTAATTTGCTGTGCACCAAAGTGCGCGTAGCACAGGCGTTCCCTGGAGACGAGTAGCAGCGGCACAAGGTGCACCACTGCTACTTGTCCCCAGGGAACCA